CTGGTGCTTTATACGATATGGGAAATAAGACACTTTCGAAGGGAAAGTTGACCTGAAAGATAAAGGCCACAGTAATGGGTGGGACCGCTCCACCAGGCTTTGGACCAAGACTTCTATAGAGCACCTGCACAGGGCGGACCAGGGCCTGGGTTCAATACACAGTGCCGATTTAAAAAAAAATAATTGTTAAGTCTGTAAAGAATCAAATGATTCATTCCACAATGCATCTCTCAGATAACACTCAGTTGTTATCAGTCCAGGAAATTGTAATTAATTAGTATTAGCAGTATAATTATCATCGTTGGAAGAAGGATGCCATACTGTTATGTTAATGAAGTTGTTAGTATTATAAACATGAAAAGTTTGTGTGGATAAGTTTAATAACTAATTGCTATTGTAATTTTTAGATTTGCAGTTAAATTGAGCTATATCACCTTACTGCATTATGCTGTTACTGCCTAGAGTTCAAAATCTACAGTTACAGTCTTCCCGCTCATCTTCATCTGTGCAGAAGTTTGCATGAGCCTGAGGCCTTTCCAGATGTTGCACTCGTACCTTGAGTTTCACATTTCTCATTCGTATATGATATTGGGCAGCTGATATTTTTGCACCATTTTTCTGGAAATCCAATGTATTTTTATTTATTAATATCTGCTGTTCTTGTTATTTAAACAATAACTTAGGTAATTGCAGTGCATTTCTCATATTGTCAGAGAGTCACAAAAATGCCTTTAAACTTAGTAACTGACCACAGGAAATACTTTGTAGTTCTTAGATGCAATGCTGGTAGATAACAAGAGAGAAAAAGTGCACAGACAGAAACAATAATTAGTAACCTCATCACTACTATGAATCCTGGTGATACAAAGTCACCCTGACATTCAAGACAATGTGTGGTGTTTCTGAAGGTCTGGGGAAGGCAGAGGCAAGGTGTCCACCAGGCACTCTTGCTTGGGATGCACAGTCCAGGGCCCACGTGTCCACCCGCAGTTTATATAGGTTATTCTGAAATAAGTAGATTTTGAATGTTTGGTTCTGCCTCCCAGACAGAATTCTCCACTTTAAAATAGTTTTTAAATACTTTTTTTTTTTTTGCTATAAGTACTCAACTGTGCTTGTTCTGACAAGCTTGCTAAAGATACCTGCCATCTTTGTTAGCCTTATTTGCCTCAAGCACACCTCTCATCTTTGTGGTCCTGTTGGAGCCTGACATTGTGGACGTGAGCTCTGAAAGTGTACGTTCCATTCCTTTCTTTGAATACTTTTCTCTTTAAAGGAGAAAATAAGTAAATGTTAACAATGCTAGCACTTTGTTTGACATACATCCAGATTTTATCTAGTTGTTCAATTTTAACTGTACTCTTTCAACAACTGTTGCTACCTTAAAAAGATGTGATAGAGACACCGGCACATCACGTTTATTGCAGTGCTCTTTATAATGGCAGGGATAGAATTAGTCTAGACATTCATCAGTAGAGTGACAGACAGAAGAAGAAAGTGGGCTACATGCATCCCCTCTGAGGCTCAGGGAACACTGCAGAAAAGAACAGAAAGGATGTAGGGACAGAAGGTGAGGAAAAGTCATCTGGGTAAGATGAGACCCGGAGCCAGGGCAGCTGTAGATGTCAGTGTTGGGTCTACATAAGTGTGCTTATGAGCAGTCGGACTCTACTTTCGAAAAGTCATACAATGTATGAGAGAATTTCTCCTAAGTGAATCCAGATTGTGCAAGATAGATTTTTGCATACATATTAAGATTTATCACACTGTTCTATCTTATCAATATTCAAAAATTAAAATGTTCAGAACATAAGCTTTGTAAAAGGCTGTGTGCACTGAGAATTTAAAGTACATGTGCATAAGCTAAAGGCTCTGAGCTTAACATAAATCTTTTGGCATTAATAGACTAAGTTTAAATATATGGCTTACAGAAATGTAAATCACACAATGCCTTAAATAGACCCAGGGCACAGGCATCAGGAAAAGGTGGTATTAATACTACCAGGATGGGCAATTTTCATTTGTTTCTGATTTTTCCCTTAGAAGTTAGAAAGTGTTGTGGTATCTATTAAGTAGTTGATTCTAACTGTAACAAAATTTTAGAAGCCTCTCCTATAAAGACTTAACTATGCTTTAGAACATAATTTAGAACATAAAACAGGATAAGACTATACACAGAGGACACACGAACATCTGGGGATAAGGTGAGTTCAGTGAGGAGCATCCCGTATGAGGACTGTGGGGGCAGACAGGATCTTCCTGTACCCAAGGAAGTGGCCATATGTCCCACTCACTAGCTGACAGCCTGCCTCTCATGCTCACAGCAAGTCCAGTTCTTAGAAAGCTGACAAACCTGTTAGCTGTGATCATTAGCATCCATGACCACGAGGAGGAAGGGCTTTCTCTGGAGCTCAGTGGGAAGTCAAAGTGAACTATAGTCTGCCCAGGAGTTATCCAAGAGCCAGTTGTGAGGATAATGGCTGTGCATCCTCTACCATCTTTTTAATCTCTCTTAGATGAAGTCTGGCACAGAAACAGACAGGAAAGAGACTTCTTTCCCCAATGATACAGAAGATCAATGAAATGCTGGGTATGGACAGAAGACTCCATGGTGTGGTTGCTGTAGAATCAGCAACTCCACCATCTTGTCATGGGGAAGAAGAGGTTGTAAGAGGCTGTTCTCACTCTTCAGTGACAGAAACCTCCACAGAGCCTACCCTGACCCAGATATCACCAGCAACTACAGGAGTTACTTCCTGTGACCATTTCAAATGACACAAGAAATAAATATGATGCGGGCAGAAGTGTTTGATTAAAGGTTTGATGAATAGATAATCATAAGGTTTGAATTGAAAAATAAGCCAAGTGTGGTACATGGCATATCTTACCAATGTGCATCATTCTGTCGGAGTCTGGGGTTGCTTCCTTTAATGAAGTTTTGGTGTTCATTTTTAGTGCTTTGAAGGATTCTAGCTTCTAGAGTCCAAATATGAGTACTGGGATAATGTCTGACTTCACTGTAGCTCAGTGCCGATGCAATGCTTGAACTGTGGGTACTGGTGAGCATCCTTCCTCTAAAGGAATCGTCACGTGGCTGGCACGGCAGAGCACCCCCCCAACTTCACCACAACCTGGCAAAGAGGGCGCTGATCTTTGTAGCAAAAGCACATTTTGTTAAAATAAGAATCCAGAAAAGATCATTTTAGGTGTCACTCAAGTGCATACAATATGCTTATTTTGATTTTAAAGCATACCTGTAGTTGATAGCATTGTTTTATGTAGAAAATAATCTCCCTCTCCCACTTATTATTGTAAAAAACTGCAGAACAGCCCAACTTTTACTAGGAAAAATTAGTATGCAAAAGGAAAATAAATACATGTCCCTAACCATCCATTAAGTTCCGTTTGGAAGGACTTCCTTAGCTGAGGACAGGTTACATAACATTTTTAACCTAAGGGAGTCTTACTGAGTTGTTTGTAATGAACCAGTGCGGTGACTGGCTTGTGTCATGCACTTACTTCACTTCTACACTGGGATCTCAAAAGTAGATGCTTCACTTTCTTATGCCTAACATCATCCACGTCATGTCACTTTAAATTTTGTGACTGAATAAAAACAGTTAATGTGAACACAGCCTGATCAGCCCCTGATTTCTCACCTGAAAATGCAAGGCTTGGTGGTTTGCATAAGAATGGCTCTGATAGGTTCAAGTATTTAAATGCTTAGGGAGTAGCACTTTTGAAAGGACTAGTAGGTATGGCCTTGTTGGAGGAAATGTGTCACCTGGGGGGTGGGCTTTGAGGTTTCAAAAATCCAAGCCAGGTCTAGTGACTCTCTCTTCCTGCTGCCTATCTATCCAAATGTAGAGCTCTCAGCCCCAATTAAATGTTTTCCTTAATATGAGGTGCTGTGGTCATGGTGTCTCTTCACAGCAATAGAACACTGACTAAGACACAAGGCATTCACTGCACTCACACACCAACAGAGTTTTTTACACTTTCAGCTCATGCTGCTAAAAATTCTAATGAAATTCACACACTAATACCCAATCACCTACCCTATATTTAGTTTGCAATATTGCATTCATTTCTCATCATAGACTAAAAGAAGTTACAGAGATAAATGAACTGTGTTTCCCCCAAAGAAACATTACTGTTTAAACGAAAAAGAAGAGTTTTATTGTATATCTCCAGGTCATTTATATTATGACCTAAATCGATTTAACCATTAACAGTTGCCTGAATTACGGCTCTGTCAGGGCTTATCTCCAATCTGTGTAAAGTCTGAGGGACATTAAGAGGAATGCTGCCTAGTACCAGGTAGTAACTTTAGCCCTGACAAAGGTGCTTTAGAATCGTTTATTTGCAAACAATTCCCTGCTCTAAAACAAGCTTAGGACAAAAGGTCTCACCTTGTAGATGCAAAATTTAGGCAAAGTAGGCTGTGAAATAAATGATGGGACAATAAAAAACACAGATCCACATAAGCTAAGATTTAAAGCAGTGTTATAATTTAATTTTCACAAAGCCCCTTTTCATACATGCCTTTGTTAAGCATTCATAGCTGAAAACCATAACTCACAGGCCAAATGGAAGACACACAGAATTTGTGAATGGTCGCATTGGAGAAAATTGTGATTTATGGGAAGATGGGAAGGACTCTGTGCTTACCCATTTTTGTTACCATGGAGGAAACCTGGAAGAAAAGACAATAATAGAAACTAAACGGACTCCAATTTAAAGAGAATGTGTGTATACATGCGGGTCTGGTGGTCAGAACAGATTCTGAGAGCAAGTGTGTCCTACAGCATCACTCACAGGAAGGATGTCCCCCCTGGTGTACACTGTGTCATGGCTTGAATATAAAGTGTCCCCTCCAAAGATTCTGTACTGTGGCCATGGTTACTTAGAATGCTGTGTACACAGATAATTGGGTCATAAGGGCTCTAACCTAGTCAATGGAACAATCCACCCATGAGGTCACAAAGCTGTGGGGACTATTGGGAGTGTTGGAAACCATGGGAGGTGAGGCCTCATTGGAAGAGGTGGTCACTGAGAGCCACGCCTTTGATGTGCCCCCGAGGACTCCTGTTTTTGGTGCCACACTCCCAGTCTGCTCCCTGGCCACCATTAGGTAAGGAACTATCCTGTGATGCTCTGCCCCATCTTGTACACAGACACAGAGAACAAAGTGACCATGGGTTGAGATACTTGAAACCCTGAAATGAACACTTGGTCCTTCCAGTTGTCCCCTCAGGTGTAAATGGAGGCTTTCTTGTCCTGCATGGTCCTGCAGCCACTATTAGAATAATCACTCAGAGGCTTACATTAATTATAAATGTTTGGCCAGTGGCCCAGGCTTATTACTAGCTAAGCTTTTACATTTAAATTAACCCATTTTTATTAATCTATGTATTGCCACGTGCCTATGGCATTACCAGTCTGCTGGCACCTTGCTTCTTGGGGGGGGCTGGCTGGCTTCTCCCTCAACTCCACCCTTCTTTCTCCCTGTATTCAGTTTTGCTTTGCCACCTAGCTATATTCTGCCTGGCTATAGGCCAAATCAGCTTTATGTATCAAATGAGAGCAACCAATGAGAGCAACACATATTCCAAGCCTACAGAAGGGCATCCCACATCATTGGGTAGTTTGTAGAAGTGGCACAAACCTGCCAGCACAGATTTTGTCATTAACAAAGGCCTCAGAGGCAGCTTGCTGAGAGCCATGCTCTCATTCCTACCTTGCTGCCCCTGGACCCATGCGTCGGTTGCCCTGTGGTAACAATGGCCATTAAGCAAATTTTGCATCTTAAAACGAGTAAGACGTGTTACATAAGTAACAGTATAACTTACTATTGAATTAACTAAGGAATGCTATTGATATTTTAACCTAAAATACAGCCCAGGAGCATTTCCTGTCATTGACACATCCTTTTTTTTTTGACACTGAGGATCTGTACAAAGATAGAAAAGAGTAAAATTCTCTGTTTTTGAAACACCTAATTTTCTTCCTAATTAATAGTGCATAAATATATTATGAAAGATACAAACTAATAAAGTCTTATAATTTTTGGTCTTTCAAAAATTTTAATATTTAAATGTATGTTCTTTGAGTGTCTATGTGGAGAATGTACATATCATTGTATGACCCACAGAGGCCAGAAGAAGGGGTCAGATCCCTGGAGCTAGTCTTTCACGAGGTTGTGAGCCGCCAGACATGGATGCTGGGAACCAAGCTTAGGTCCTCTGCTTCCTTAAAGCACCGAGCCATCTCCCATTGCCCCAGTCCTAAAGTGTAGAAGGTTAAATTTAGAAAGCCAAATTACATACTAATAAAGAAAATAAAGCTATGGTTGAAAAGAGTGTTACAGCATTACCACACCTGCTAATGAAGATTTTAGTTTTAATATTTTACATATAAAATAGTGTAGCTTAGATTTATACAATTTTATAAAATCATGGAGACACTAATATTATCGTTATGACAAAGGGAAAATTGACGGTTTTATAATTCAAATCATTGGCAAATATTTTACTTATATTTGATGCTATTTAAAATATCAGCATAGGCTCTGCTCTTTCATCATGCTAAAAGGCAGCATGTCAGCTTTCTGTCCATTGACACGTTTTTGGATTAATGAAATAACGACATTGATTTTGGTTTTGCATTTCCTATGGTGCATGTGATGCCCTCCCCGCCAGTCCCACATCACATACAGGAGTGGAGTTGCTGACATTCCCCAAATCCATTCAAATGACTGACGTCTAAAAACGGCCAAGAGAGAAGCACAGCTCAGATTTAAGTGAGCTGTGAGACTTAAAGACATAGGGTCTTCCACAGAGGCAGAAGCCATATGCAAAGGCCTGAGCTACTCAGTGCTGGATCCTGGATTCCCCTACGCCCACCCCTGTGTGTGAATTTTATTGTGTGTGCATTTTTTTTTTGTCTGTCAGTTCTGAAGCAATCCATTTTCTTTCATGGACTGAGTCAATTTTCATCCTCCCTCAGAATACCCATAGTCCTCCTCTGGCCTATGCATATATTTCAGCAAGTTGAATCTGGAGCAGCCACAGAGACTCCACACTGTGAGGCATTCAGTAATGTCAAAGATTATCAAAAGCTCTGAAATTGAAAAGTGTCTAGATTGATATGTGATTTTATTGTCTTGATTTTCAAAATCTTGCCATTGTAAAATTATTTTACAATATATATTTTGGTGATTAACTGTCATATTTTTATACATCAATAAAACGTTTTTACTTGCAAAGAAGGGACCCACAATGACTTTGAACTGTGGTCTATTTTAATAGGTTTTTCCCCTTACAAAAGTAATTTTGACAAAGATACCTATATCTATAAAAGTAGTTTTGACAAAGATCTCTCTATCTCTAGAGGGGTGTTTGTGTGTGTGTTGGTGTATGGGTGATATGTGTGTGTTTGGGTATGTACATGTGATGCACACACTCACACACGTACATGCAGAAGCCAGAGGAGCACCATGGAGTCTTCCACTGCTCTCTGCCTTGTTCTCTTGATCCGTCTTCTCTTGCTGATCATGGAGCTCGCCATTTTGACCCACCTTCTTCTCTTGATTCATGGTCTCTTGCTGAATGTAGAGCTCTTCATTTTGACTAGGCTGGCTGGCCAGCAAGCTCCAGAGATCTGCCCGCTTCTGTCCCTTACAGTGGTAGGTACCCATCTCTGTGTCTGGAATTTATATGGAGATTCAAACTCATGTCCAGTGCTTGCTCGGGCCACCTCCCCACACTTAATATTTTTCTAAATAATTAAACATTTTTAATTAAAATATAGTTACATCATCTCCCCCTTTTAAAACATTCTCCATGTCCTCTTGTGTTCTCTCTTCAACCCCTTCTATGCTATGCCCCACATTATTCCCTCTTAAACTCGTGACTTTTTTCTTTAGTTATTATTGTTACACACACACACACACACACACACACACACACACACACACGCACGCACGCACGCACGCACGCGCACGTGCACACACATCTTGATAAAATATTTTACAGATAAAACGTTTCAAACCATTTTCTTGTTTAAATTTAAGCAAAATGCAAAAGCTATCACACAGCCAGTGTATTTATTGCTCAACTTTTAGGCAAGGTGGCCCTAAAGTTGAATTAAATCACAAGGTAAAAAAAGAGCCCATCTCTATGTAACCAAGTAATCAGAATTGTGTAATATAATTTTTGCAAAAACACTCTTCATGCATGGGTTTCTGAGGCAAACTACTGCAAATTGACTCACAACATCCAGTGGAAGGGATGCAAAGCTATAGTCTTGTCAGTTGTCCTGCCAGGAACAAGGGTGAGGGTGACTTCTGAAGAAAAGTCGTGGGAAGCAAGAGGTACAAAACAAGATAAAGAGAGAAGATAGAGGGGAGGAGAGGGAGGTAAATGTGTGTGGGACTGTGCTTTGGATTTTAATAATTTATGTGATCACCATGATGGCGCGTGCTTTTTGTGATGGGTACCTTACTGAGCACAGCTAATCCTCATGCAAGCCCAGTGAGGAATTGTGGTAATGAGGTCACCATACTCTCCTTTATACCGCCAATCTCTCAGTGGACCCAAGCACGTCTCCATGGTAGGGACACTTTTGACATTGAATTTCAGCCATTGTCAGTCCACTGCTTCTGTCTTCTCTAACTTCTACACAGAAGAAGCTTTCAGTATTGTGGTTTTTCCCTCAGAGTGTGTCTCTTGTTCTCTGGTTACTATCTTTGCACAATTTTATGACAACGTTCCCACGTGTTGTTTTCATGGCGCTTGTTGTTGGTGGGGTTTTAAGAAACTTTTGAGTATAAGTTGATAGTTTCCATCATCGTGATACTGATTTTTCTCCTGTCACTCATTCTCTACCTTAGCAATTAGACAATATGTAAACACTTATTTCAACCATTTTCCAAGTGCATCTATCTCATACGTTCCCATTACTTGGTAGCTCTGATTATCATCAATTCCATTAACTTCCATATCAATGATTCCATTTCTGCACTTATAATTTCAAATATCATATTTTTCTACCTTTTGAAGCATGTTTTTGACTTTGTGAGTTCCCATTTCTGCATACGTTCATCCAGCGTGCAATCTTTTATTTCCCTGAACATATGATTATGACTTCATGGTCCATAGCACACTAACAGCAGCATCAGGATCCACTGGGAGTGCAGCTCCTTGGGCTGGGTTCTTCTTACTTTTTCTAAGCCACAGGGTTTTAAATTCTATGGTTCAGAGCATTGAAGTGAAGATGGTAAACGGTTGATAACTTCAGTCTAGGCAGGACACAGATCTGGAATGACCTTCTGCAATAGTTACCATCACACTGATGTCCCCTCTTCCTGAAGTTTCTTTTTCCTGGAACTGCCATCTGAACCCATAAAGTAGTGCCTGCAACTCAACTCCCCCATCATAGACAAGTTAATTTGCTGAACCCACTCACTTTTGCAATTTGTTAATGGCCTGGTAAAAACACCAGAAAGAGGTCTGAAGTATGTCTTTCTCTGCTTGGGGTTATTTATTTAGAAGTCTCTCTTAATAAGATAGTAAAATGTATTTATCATTGATCGAGAACATATTAACATCCAGTATTAGTAATGCAACTTTTTCTTTTAGTGAATGAACAAATTAGATGATTGCAGAAATCTGAATGGAAACAGGGCTTGGATGTAGCTTCTGTTTTCTGTGTTGGGTCTAGCCTGCATATGAAACATCCAGTGACCATCTCCCACAGAAAATGGAATGGATGACTCTGGAGCTCAAAGAGGTGGTGGATGAGATTGGAAATTTGAGAGTAATCAGTAAACTAGGATAAAATTATTAATATGGGTATGATGTCACAAGCAAGATGCAGAGAATGAAAGTGGGTGGGAACTGTGATCCTAGAAATTACCAATGCATAGCAAGAGAGGCAAGAATGAAAGGAAATATGATAATTCTGTCATGAATGGAAATATTCAGAAAGGAGATCCATGAAAGATTTACTAGTCAGATAAAAACCCATTCAAAACTCACTGTTTAAGCCAGATATGTTGGCATATACCTTTAACTCCAGCACTTGGGAGGCAGAGGCAGGCCGATCTCTGTGAGTTAGAGGCCAGCCAAGTTT